AATCTTTGAGTGGTGGAGGAAAGAAGGGTCCTCTGAACTAACCCCACTCATCTGTTGCCGACCCAAACACTCACTAGTCCAAAGCCTAGGAGACACCACACCTAAGATTTGGTTTCTAGTTCCCGGGCAGCCTAAGTGACCAGCTTTGAGAGGGGTCCTTCTGGGGACTCCTCCTCATTGGTTCTCTTCCTCATGAATAAACCAAAAACCAAACCCATTGCTGTGGAGTCAATTCTGATGCATAGCGACCCTGTAGGACAGAGTAGAACTGCCCCATTGGGTTTCCAAGGAGTAGATCTGAACTGCCAACTTTTGGTTAGCAGCCTGAACTCTTAACCACTGTGCCACCAGGGCTGCTGCTCATCAATAAACCACCAAAAACAGAACTTAGGAAGAAACTTCTTATAAAATTTAGTGTTTTCAGGAATGGGATGGATGAAGCGGAGGAGAAAATGGCAAGGTGTTTGCCAGTAGAAAGGCAGGGGGGTCCTCACTGGGCTGGGCAGACTGGGCTGCAAGCTCACCAGGCATTTATTCAGTCTCTGTCTCAGAACATTCTGCAACCATAGTTGTTGCCTTAAACCCGGATTTGCTGTTGTTCCTTCTTCTTCACCTCTGCCCAGATGTCTGACAGGTCTTGGATAAACTGCTGGATCTAGCAAGGCAAGGGGACCAGAGTTAACCCCACTCAGCGAGAAGGCTCCCCCATCCCAAGACGAAGCACCCCAGGGCATAACGCGTAAGGAGTCCATTGCTCTCCTGTGACTGACTTCTTGAGGGAGCCACATTCCCACATGAAATCGAGTATCAGATTTAGCAGACTAGAAGCACTAAGTAGGTACGGAGTTGGCAGATCCTAGAGACAGACACAGCGATAGCATGAAGAAGTGATTTTAGGTGACACACAGACATGGCATGAAATAACTTTGAATCCTACAGTGAAAAAGTTATTTCCTTTTTAGTTTCCTTAAAGAGAAAGTCTCAGATTGGTATTAATATGACTTTAACACTTCTCTACACTTGCTAATTTTCCTTTTGAACAAAACAGGCCTTGGGCATAAGCCTTCAGTAAGCCACAGTACCTGACTAGAAGTTAAAAAGACTGTTTTGCACAACTAATTAATTCAATAGTGGGTCCCTGCTACTAGTAGATGGATTACCCAACAAGCAAGGTCAGCA